TTAGTCCCTTGTAAAAGAAATATATCACCATGCTTACTCAGTAGCTTTCGAAAATTTTTCATTTCATTGTTGGTTACGTAGTTATGCGATGCGTACAGGTCGTCGAGGATGTTCCTGGGTACACACGTAGTTTCGAAGAGGACATTGCAAATATCGCGCACGCTTTCTTTCGGCAGCGAAAAGGCTGCCATGTCATCAGTAGTACAGTAAATAAAGGTGTCTTCCGAAAAATGCAGGATGGCTTTTGTGCTGTGTGGAAAACTGGCACTAAGAATAACACCCCAAGCCCTGTCTGAACTTATGAAAAATTCTACTATATCTGTTTCCTTGCCTATAGTATACTTTGACAAAATCTCTTTTACCGCCATCTCTTTTCCTTCTGATGAACGCAGCCTGTTAGATGGTGGAGCAAGAATAACATTTTCGTGCATATTGCTGCAGTAAGTTGAGATGTAGGATGGTGTACCAAAATGGAAAATCAAGCATTGGAAGTAGATAGATCTAAGCTTCTATCAATGAGTTGGTTAAGCATGCGGTGTCGAATATGGCCGTGTATACAGTTATCACTTAGAAAAGGGGTAATATGCATGATTTTGGAAACGTCCGTTTCTGTGACTAATTGCATATACATTCTAGAAATCGGGCTCTTGCTCGCTCCTTCTTCCTCAGCTAAAAAATTTCGTTGAGATTTAGTTTAAACACATGTTTAAGCAGTAGCGATAGCAGTAGTTAGCACGACATAAGAGTCTCCACATCTTGTAAATCAGAACTCAAAGCTCATATTGAAGCCTCTTCATCACTCTGTCCGGTATTAATAAAAGTGTGTCTCAAAAGTGCCGATGTTTGTACAGATGCGCTAAGTCATTTTGATGACATGCTATGCATAAACCACGAATTAATCACAAAAAACTGATACTTGATCTGTGTTGTATCGTTTGTAAAATGCAAATCGCTAATTTATTTCACAACTTACACGTGCATATGCTACAAGTCACAAACAAATGATTTTGAGTTGTGCATCATTTGTTGCACATTAGGCCGCTATTCATTCACTTGTGCTCTTTTATTCCAGCTTATGGTCAATTTAAGCAGCCTTGCATGCTTTCCTACAATTTTTCTATTAACCTTTATCATGCTGATCATATTTAGACGCTAAGGAGGAATTCTGTTCCGCGTTATGATTTTGAAAGGAAAATTAATTGTTAAAAAGGGTTGGGGTTTTTCGACAGAGTTTAGACCATCCCATAAATTGAGATTGGGATGGTGTAGAGGTGAAACTTAGTTCCAGCTACTTCGATACAAGCAATAAACTATCCAAAAGTATTATTGCTTCCATGACATGCTAAATAACTGTTTGAGAGTATTGCTGAATACAAATCAGTCACTTTGTGTCAATTCTGTTTGTAAACTACGGATTTTGAAGGCTCATGATCATAGAAATATTTATTCAGACACCATGCCTCAGTATTAAGAATTATCTCAAACTGTGTTGCTAGGTCATTGGTTGGAGACTAGTCTTACTTTAATTTTGCAACTGCAGGTTCTTACACATTTTTTAGGGATATTTCATTGTCATGTTTATGGGATGTGCTCCTCTGAAGTATCTTTGAGCGCCTGTATGTAGACTGGTAGCACTGGATTTTGCCACAGTGGCTCTTTTGATGAGCCAACCAAATCGGATAATAAAGTCAATGACGCTAGCAGTGAGAATAATGTACGCGCGAAAGTTCTCAAAAACATTCGAATCATCATGTCTTAAATTAGCAGTTACTCTTTCAAATGGCTTTTAGGCCCGAAATATGACCAGTTCTTCCTTGGAGGAGCCTTTTTTAATTCCTAGTTTTGCCGATCAAAGAGAAAAAAATTGCCGAATTCTAGCAAATAAACATTTGGACTGAGCAAAACCCCTTTTATAAATTATAACATAGCATATAAAGGAGCGATTGCCGTGACGTATGGCCTCTTACGGCTGCTGAAAATGATCTAGGTTTGGAAGAAATCAAGTGCATCAGGGCTGAGTGTGGACCACTAACATCTTTTGTTTGAGGCGTTTGGCATCCCCTTTTCACCCATATGACCTATTTGCTGATGCAACTCTAAGAGAGCTGTTTGTATATTTAATCCTGGGGCAACCAGGTGCATAGTAGACTCATCGCCTTTTGGAGTACAGTAAAAACTCATTCCTGCTGGTCGAGGTCATCTGTTTCGTACATTAGAGCCATGTTAGGATCTGTACCCCGCGTATTTCACCAATGATGTTTATTGGGCTGCCCAAGGAATGGGGTACCTACTAGAGCACCACCTGTTTCTACTTTAAAAAGTCTGCAATACCAATCATCTGCATCACTATGCCTATTCCCCTTCCTGCAGGGCAATATGCAACCATGCTACTGCAATTTTTACTCTTTTTATTATGTGCATTGACTTCCGCTATTTTATATTTGCATTTTGCAAAGGATCCTGAGACCCTGAACTTGAGCCCCTAGGCCACCTGGATGCATGTTTTCTGCTTGACGTGTGCACTTTCTATATCACTAAGGTCATAGCTAATAAGGTAAGCCCATTCATCCACCTAGATTGTTTCTCTGCTTAATTCGGTGTTCTGTCTGTATCATGCGTTTAAGCTGGTGATTCTTAGGAACTAACGGGTAGCAGTAAAGGCTCTTTATCTTACTATTAATGTAAAAGACTTTGGTGAATCCCAGTTAGTCATTATTCGGTTTTAAGAAAAGTAGTGCAACACGAGGTAATCTGATTCTGCTTGATCACTAACTTTCATTTAACCCTCGGAAAAGTAGCTGTTGTTTTAGAAATTCTTTGTAGGAATAGGTTACTCTCTTAAATTCCCTGCTTTTAGTGGTGGTGAAAACAATTTTGCAGACCAGTCATTTGAAATGCGCAGACAACTGTAGATAGAAGGTCAGGTGAAAGGCTCCACTTTTCATACGTTGATCACATGCATCCATTTCGGATAGTTGCACTGAATCTCTCCAGCTGAGCGCTGGAGAGTTTGAAGAAGAGTGCTTTTCGGGAGATGGTGCAGGTTGGTGGGTCGAGGCACACTTCAAATGTGCAAAAGATGTAAGACCACTTCAATGGCCATTGATTTAGCAAGTCCATTAATTTGATTAGAGCGATAACGTGCTAATGCGCAAGGTCAGGCAAACCTTCCACCTGGTAAGGAGTAAAAAGTGGTGCAGAATCTCTGCTATCTTTGATGGATGCGGCAATAAACATTTTATCGAAGTGATGCTATAATGATTAGGGATAAAATGAGGTAAATATTGCAAAAATGTCCTCTATGAAGTTGTTTTTTTTTGTATCTTGTCTATAAATTATGGCTTTTCATTATCACTGGGAATAGCGT